TAGGGAAGGTGAGTCACGGTGGTAAAGGTCCCGATGGAACGATCCGGAACAGCAGCCAGTCTGGGCAAACAGGCAGCAGGGACAGAGGCAGGCAGAAGCTTCCCTCAGACCACAAGGGCCGAAGAGAACACCAGTGTGTTCACAGGGTGCATGGTGGGCCCTGCAGGGTCTCTAACTAGAGAGGAAGAGTCAAGGTCCTGCTGCCCCCACCATGACACCTGCCTGAACCCAAATAGGGGAGACATCACGCAAGGGAGGTGAGCCCGACACGGACGGACACAGCCTGCAGGACCCACTCGTCTGAGGTCCCTGGAGGAGTCAAACCCATGGAGGCAGGAAGTGGACGGTGGGGCCTGGGCCTGGGCCTGGGGCTGGGGTGGGGGGCGGGGAGCAAGTGTCGAGTGGGGACAGTTTGGAAAGATGAGAAAGTTCTGGAGGTGATGGTGGCACAATGTGCATGTACCTGATTCTGTGCACTCAGAAGTGGTCTTAACAGTAAATCTTATATTAGCTACACTGTACCACAATAAAAAAAAAATTTTTTTTAGAAGAATGAATGGGGAGCTTCCCTGGTGGTACAGTGGTTAAGAATCCACCTGCCAACGCAGGGGACACAGGTTCGAGCCCTGGTCCGGGAAGATCCCACATGCCGCGGAGCAACTAAGCCCGTGAGCCACAGGTGCTGAGCCCGCGTGCCACAACTACTGAAGCCCATGCGCCTAGAGCCCGTGCTCTGCAACAAGAGAATCCACCGCCATGAGGAGCCCGCGCACCGCAACAAAGAGTAGCCCCTGTTCGCCGCAACTAGAGAAAGCCCGCGAGCACCAACCAAGACCCAGCGCAGCCAAAAAAAAAAAAAAATGAATGGAAGGAGGGAAACCGGGAGGGTCACGTTGACCTCAGTCCCAACCTCCTCAACCTCCTGCGGGTCAAAGACTGGGAATCTGAAGAAATCACTGGACCCTCTCCTTGGGCAACACACACCAAGACACCCGACCACAGGATGCTGTCATGTCCAGGAAGCCCCAAAGGGCCCCTGTTCCCATCCCCAAATCCATGGTGTGTCCTAGGGAATCACCATCAGAGACAGCATAAGCAGCCCCTGCCCCCGGGAGCCCCGGCAATGTGGGTGACCACCGGCAGGTGCCCGAGCCGCCCTGGTCCAGCCGCAGGGTAGCTTTGCTGAGGTTGGGTGGGGCGGACAGGGGACAAAAAAGGTGATGCCCACTCCACAAAAGTGTATGCCATTTGTTCAGATGGCAGGATAAGAAACCGAACCCCTAGTTCTTAATTATATAGAAAAATACAACCGAAAACCAAATGGAGAGAAAAATGCTGCACCACACCACCCAACACTGGCTCCCCACAAAGCATAGTGACCAGGCCTGCCAGACACACAGTGCACGGCCCGGAGACAGACCCACACAAGTACGCTTGTCCGATCTGTGATAAAGATGCACACATACCCAAAGAAGGAAGTGACAGTCCGCCAACAAAGGGTGCCAAGTCACAGGTCACACACAGGCACAAACCCATGAGCCGAACCTCACACCTTACGCGAAGATGAACACAAGTGGGTCGCAGATCTAAACGTAAAACACAAAACTACAAAACTTTCACCAGAAAATCTGTGATCTTGGGTTCAGCTAAAAGCCTAGACGTGACTCCAAAACCACAATCCCTAAAAGAAATTTAATGAGAAACTAAACTTTATCAAAATGAAAAACTCTTGTCTATAAAAGACAAGAAGACAAGCCAGCTACCACCGACCAAGGAAAGATCTGCAAACCACGTGTCTCCAGGGAGGCCTCTCAAAACTCAACAGAAGGAAAACGAAAAATCCAATTTTAAAAATGGGCAAAGCAGAAACTAACACACCATTGTAAAGCGATTATACTCCAATAAAGATGCTAAAAAAAAACAATGGGCAAAAGATCTGAACAGACACTTCGCCAGAGAACACATAGATGGCAAATAAGCAGATGAAAAGATGCTCAACATCCTGAGCCAACAGAAAAATGGAAATTAAAGCCATGCTGAGATACCACTGCTCATGATTAGGACGGCTCAGTGGGACCTGAGCGCAGCACATGCCGGCAAGGACACGGAGCCACTGGAATGCTCGTCCCGGTGGTGAGGACACTGGAAACCATGCAGCAGTTTGTTATAAAGTTAACCGTATGCATAGCTGAGGCAGCAATTCCACTTTTAGGTATTTATCCAGGAGAAGAAATGAGGGCTGGACGCAACGAACCCCATACAGAAATGTCCACTCGCTCTGCTCACGGATGCCCCAAACTGGAAACACCCAATGTCCTGCGTCAGGGGAAGGGACAGCCAGGAAGCCATCCACGTGACAGTCACCACAGGGCCGCAAGAAGGAACAAATTATTGATGCACAACTTGGATGGATCCCAGGTTCACTGTGCCCAGCAGAGGGGCCAGTGTCCAGGGTTATCTCCCGGGCAGGTCCATGTGTCGGACACGCTCCAAAGACAGAACCATGGGGACAGAGAACAGTGGCTGCCAGGGGATGGGGTTGGGGGGTGACTGTCGGAGCAGCACAGTGGAGTCTTGGGGCCCTGGGGGTTGGCTGACGGAGCTGTTCTGGGAGGTGGACACTCAGGTCACACCACCCCATGCCCAGGCGGCCGCCTGGCCCTCCCCAGCCCCCTCCCGCTCAGCTCCGGGTGGCCTCCACTCGTGACAAACGCACCACGGGTGGGCGATCTAGCCCATCTCTGCAGCTGCCAGCTCAGTGCCAACCAGACTGGCAGTTCTGAAAGGGCCACACCCGTGAAGGACATCTGTGCACTGAACACACCTGTATCAGCATCCCAGGAACAGGGCAGGGGGTGGTTCCTACAGATGCACTTGGGCCCAGGCGGCTGGGGGGCTCACCACAGGCATCATTCTGTCTTTTACGTGACACCAACGTAACTGTGATACACCACCGGCTGTAAGATGCATCCCATTTCTTGGATCTAAAACGGGGGCACGAAATGCATCCAAGAGCCAATGCAATTTGGCATGTGGGGTAAAAAATAGCAAAAGCCTGGCAGGGAAAAGCCAGTGAGAAAGAAAAATAAAGGTGGAAACAGAAACACGAGGCCAAGAGTCGGGAGGATCCGTGTGTAAACCCCAGCCGCCAGCCAGGACACAAAGGGACACAGCGGGTCTCCAGGCCCCGTGCTCAGCAAGTTACAGGCATAGCTGCTGGGGAAGACGCAGGGCCGAGAGACCAGACCCTGGACGGTGCTCCAGCAGGGCTTTGTGGCCACTGCAAGCCTGCACCGCGGCCACCCGACCTGGTGACTGGCCCCGCGGGCCACGGCTCGGTACACTTGCAACTCCCTCTGGGCAGCACCCCCTCCCACTGAATGAAAGCCCATGCCAATGAAACCTGGTGCTGCACCCCGCCCAGGCCCAGGGTTCTGGGTTTTTTTTCCTCTCCTGTGCCCAAATCTGGCCCTAGGAGACCCCACCGGTCCCCTACCTGGTCTCCTCGCCCCCACCACAGTGATCCCGGAAGCTCTTCTATCGCCAATCTGACCATGTCCCTTTTCTGTTCTCCATCCTCCTGTCCAGTGCTGACCTTGAGAAGCTCGCAGCCTCCCTGCCCACCCGTGGATGCCGGGCAGACTGTGGATGCTTCTGGGGACCAGAGTGGGAGGCGGAGGGGCCGTGCGGGAGGACAGCTTTTCACTGTATGATCGTTCTACCTTCTTTAAGATGACGAGCACACGTTAGCTACACAAAAATAAATGCCCTGAACTTGTAAAATACCCCGGAGACGCCTACTGTGAGTAGGAGGCAGTAGCCAATAGTGGACTGAGCCCCTCGGCAAGAACAACTCTAAAAGCTGCATTAAAAAAAGTTGCCCAGTAGAGAGTATCATGCTAAGTGAAGTAAATCAGACAGAGAAAGTGGTATCACGAGGTACCACTTATATGTGGAAACTTAAAAAATGATACAAATGAACGATTTACAAAACAGAAACAGACTCAACAGACATAGAAAACAAACTTATGGGGACTTCCCTGGTGGCACAGTGGTTAAGAATCCGCCTGGCAATGCAGGGGACATGGGTTTGAGCCCTGGTCCAGGAAGATCCCACATGCCGCAGAGCAACTAAGCCCGCGTGCCACAACTACTGAGCCCGTGTGCCACAACTACTGAGCCTGCACTCTAGATCCCGTGAGCCACAACTACTGAGCCCATGTGCCACAACTACCGAAGCCCGCGCGCCTAGAGCCCGTGCTCCGCAACAAGAGAAGCCACCGCAATGAGAAGCCAGCGTGCCACAACGAAGAGTAGCCCCCGCTCGCCGCAACTAGAGAAAGCCCGCGCGCAGCAACAAAGACCCAACGCAGCCAAAAATAAAATAAATAAATTTTAAAAGGAATGTGGTGTCCCACATATGGGCTGGACAAACACCAAGATTTGGGGCCTGCGGAGGAGGCGGTGCTCTGGGGAACACGCAGGCTTTCAGCTGAGACCTGGGAACAGCCAGGGCCCAGGAGCAGGGCAACCAGGAGCGTCCAGCCTGACTTACTCCAGGAGGTCACATCACTGCTTGATAAATCCGACGGCCGCTCAGGCAAACCTCTAACAGATCCCAGACCCTCTCTGGAGCAGCTCTGCTTAGAGCTTCCAAAATGTCTTCACACAATGAGAAGCATTCAGTAAAAAATTACCAGCAATACAAGAAAGCAGGGCCAAATTATTAAAAAAAAAAAACAAAAAACCCCACAATTTACAAAGAGACATTAGATCAGACCCATGGGCCATCTGTAACAGGTTAAACAGGCAGACACCAGCCTTTCAAATAACTACTCTCAATTTGTGCAAGAAATGTACAAGATGGAGAATTTCACCAGAAAACCAGAATCAATAAAACAATCAAATCCTAGAAATTTGATTGGTTGAAAAGGAAATTAAACAGAGTACACGAGAAGATTGGTGAACTGGAAAATAATTCAATCCGAAACTTCCAGGTTAAAGCAGCAGCAGAAAAAAGAAATAGAAAAGTCATAAAACAGAATAAAAGTCACCTGGAATTCCCAGGACGTGGTGAATGCACACCATGCCTGTCACGGGAGCCCGGGAAGGAGGGCGGGTGCATGTGGGAAGCTATAATGACCCAAAACTGCAAACTGATTAAAGACATGAAGCCACATGAAGAAAGTAATCCCAGATAAGAGGGCGAGGGTAGGGAATTCCCTGGTGGTCCAATGGTTAGGACTCAGCGCTCTCAGTGCTGAGGGCGCAGGTTCAATCCCTGCTTGGGGAACTAAGATCCTGTAAGCTTCGCGGTGCGGTGCCCCCCCCCCCAAAAAGAGGGCGAGGGTAAAGCAGGAATATGTGGAAAAAATAAATGTAAACACAACTATTTAAGATGACAACAACAAAAGGGCTGGTGCAGCTCAAAACATGCAAACAACCCCAACCAGTGCGACAGGGGGCACAAAGAGGCTAGTGACAGAGGCCTTTGTGAGGCTCCTTGAAGGAAGGCTATGAGTCAGGATGAATGTTGAAACCTCCAACCCTTAAGAGACCAGTAGACAAACTTACAACAGGTATGGAAAGGCACATAAACAGAGTAAAATGCTTTGATTAACCAGAAAGAAGGGGAAAAAAATGGAGAAACAAAAGATCAGAGGGGACAAAGGGAAAACAGTTAAGATGGTAGATGAAACCCAAAGATACCAGTAATTACATGAAATATAAGTGGACTAAACACTCCAATGAAAAACCGTTAAGTCTGGATTAAAAAAAACAAAACCCCGGGGCTTCCCTGGCGGCACAGTGGTTGAGAGTCCGCCTGCCGATGCAGGGGACACGGGTTCGTGCCCCGGTCCGGGAAGATCCCACATGCTGCGGAGAGGCTGGGCCCGTGAGCCATGGCCGCTGAGCCTGCGCGTCCGGAGGCTGTGTTCCGCAACGGGAGAGGCCACAACAGTGAGAGGCTCGTGTACCGCAAAAAACAAAAAACCCCCCAAAAAACCCAAGAGACAATCTTAAACAAAAGAAAGTTTGAAAGCAAAAGATGGTGGAAAAGGTGTATCAGGTGAACATCAAAGAGAAGGGTGCCAGGGCAGCTCTGCTGATGTAAGACCACACAGACTTCAAAGCAAGAAACTTTCCTGGTGCTACAGGATATTTCACGATGATAAGAGGACCAGTTCACCAGGAAGATGAAAGAAGCCTGCAATTGACAGGCACCCAAATCAAAACTTCATAATAACAGGCAGAACTAAAAGGAGAAATGGCAAACCTATAAGCCTCCCTGGAGATCTGAACACCCCATCTCTTGAGCCAACATAAGAAGATAGAAACAAATCTGAAAGAGTATGCAAGATTTGATTTAATTATTGGTGCAACATAGTTTTCGTCTAGTGCATATGGAACATTTGCTGGGGCGCAGAGTCTCAAAAGACGTCAGAGCAATGAAGTGGTCTGAATATATTCTGTGACCACAGGAAATTTCATTCAGAAATTACAACAGATAGATGACCAGAAAATCCAAAACATGTTTGAAAATTTAAGCAACACACCACTACCTAACCCAAGGGTCAAGAAAAGAAAAATCACGAAAGCACTGGGAAATACTGTTGATTGAATGATAATGGAAATACGACGTATCAAAACGTGTTGGGTAGAATTAAGCCGTGCTGACCAGGAAACGCACAGCCCTAAAGTGCATATATTTTAAAAGGCTGAGAAATCAATCGATCAGAAAACTAGCAAAAGAATAGCAGATTAGGGGCTTCCCTGGTGGCGCAGTGGTTGAGAGTCGGCCTGCCGATGCAGGGGACGCGGGTTCGTGCCCCGGTCCGGGAAGATCCCACGTGCCGCGGAGCGGCTGGGCCCGTGAGCCATGGCCGCTGAACCTGCGCCTCCGGAGCCTGTGCTCCACAACGGGAAAAAAAAAAAAAAAAAAAAAAAAAAAAATAGCAGATTAACTCAGAGGAAGTAGAAATAAATTGAAATTTAAAAAATATATATGTAAGTACGGTTGGCCCTTAGACAATGTGAGGGTTGGTGCGCCGACCCCCCGAGCAGTCGAAAAGCTGCATATAACTTCTGTCTCCCCGCCAAAACTTAACTACTAATAGCTTACTGTTGACCAGAAGCCTTACATGTGCAGTCAGTTCACACACATTTTGTATATGTATTTGTACTGTACTCTTAGTCAGCTAGAGAAAAGAAAATGTTGTTAAGAAAATCATAAGGAAGAGAAAATACATTTACAGTACTAGACTGTATTCACCGAATATCGTAAGTTTACATCGTCTGTTTACAAGATGAATCACCTGTCTCTCAGTACCTGCATCAATATTGTCTTATATGATACGGAACACTGTAGGTATTATACGTGTTACCAGCACTAGACATCAAAACGGAAATGTGAAAAAGAAATGCATATTTATTTACAGGTACTGTATTTATTGCAAAAGATCCGTGTATAAGTGGACCCATGCAGTTCCAAGGTCAACTGTATACATAAGAGAGAAAAATCCAAAAGTTGGTTCTTTTTTTTTTTTTTTTTGCGGTACGCGGGCCTCTCACTGTTGTGGCCTCTCCCGCTGCGGAGCACAGGCTCCGGACACGCAGGCTCAGCGGCCACGGCTCACGGGCCTGGCCGCTCCACGGCATGTAGGACCTTCCCGGACCGGGGCACGAACCCGTGTCCCCCGCATCGGCAGGCGGACTCTCAACCACTGCGCCACCAGGGAAGCCCCAAAAGTTGGTTCTTTGAAAAGACTAATATGTTGGAAAATCTCTAGCAAGACTGAATGAAGGATAATGAGGCAAAAAGACACAAATTAACAATATTAATTGTTAATATTATATTAACGTGACACGGCAGATTCTACAGAACAGGGGTTGGCAAACTTCTACTGTAAAGGGCCAGAGGGTCAATCTTTTAGGCTGGGTTCTGTTGAATGTCCTTCGTTTTTGCTTTTTTTCCTTTTACACACCCCTTTAAAAATCTAAACAGCATCCTTAGTTTGTGGGCTGTACCAAAACAGGCCATGGGGCAGATCTGCCCCATGTCACAGCTTGCCACTTTCTTCGATAAACATTAGGAAGATTTTAAGAGGATATAAGTAGTAGACTCACGCCAATAAATCTAAAAATTAGATGAAACCTATAAGCTTGAAGAGAAACACAACTTACCAACACTGACACAAGAAGAAAAAGAAATTTGAACTTGGACCTAATAAAGACATGAATCTAATAAATACCGTCCTGCAAAACACTCCAGGCCTAAGTGGCTTCATCTGGGCATTACTTCAAATATTTAAGGAATGGACTAATGTTATACAAACTCTTCCAGGTCATTTTTAAAAGGGGGGAAGGGTGATAATTCTCGAACCATTTTATGAGGCCAGATAACCTTGCTAGCGAAAAAGGGAGAGATTACCTTAAAGGAAAATTAGAGGGCACCCTCTCTCGTCCACATAGTGGCAAAAATCCTAGAGAAAATATGGGGCAATATGAAAAGCACGGGCTTGTCCCACGCAGCCGGTGGTCCAGGCGCTGGGTCCAAACTCCCGCTCCTCTGATGTGGGTCTGGGGTACCTACACTGGCGCCCACACAGTGTGTGCCTTGTGTGGGTGGGGGGTATGCATTTAACAGGTTTCCCAATGTTTAGGCTGGAGCTCTGTGGTGGGCAGGGGGGCACCCCCAGCAGAAGCAGGGGCTCCACGCTCAGGGTCTGGCCAGATGGGAGTGGTTCCCTCCATTTAGCAACTGCTCGACACCTGGCAACCCACCTGAGGCCTCCTTCTAGGAGATGAACACTGACTGGGGGTGGTCACAGCTCCGGAGAGCCCCCCCAGAAAGGGCAAAAAAATGAGGCCGTTGAATCCAGAGGTATGTAAGAAGGCTACTACACCACAACGAGGTTGAGCTTATCCCAGAAACACAAGGTTTTTTAATATTCACACAAGCAATTTATAACATTAACAGAGCAGAAGAGGAAAACTATATGACCATTTCAATATTTAAAGAAAAGGCTGGGGCTTCCCTGGTGGTGCAGTGGTTGAGAATCTGCCTGCCAATGCAGGGGACACAGGTCAAGCCCTGGTCCAGGAAAATCCCACATGTCGCGGAGCGACTAAGCCCGTGCGCCACGACTACTGAAGCCCGTGTGCCACAACTACTGAAGCCCGTGAGCCTAGAGCCCATGCTCCGCAACAAGAGAAGCCACTGCAACCAGAAGCCCTCGCACCACAACGAAGAGTAGCCGACACTCACTGCAACTAGAGAAAGCCCACGCACAGCAACGAAGACCCAATGCAGCCAAAAATAAACAAACAAACAAATAAATAAAAGGTCTCATTAAAAAAAAAAAGAATCCTCCACCTGACAGTGCAGGGGACACGGGTTCGAGCCCTGGTCCAAGAAGCTCTCACATGCGCGAAGCAACTAAGCCCACGAGCCACAACTACTGAAGCCCACGCGCCTAGATCAGCACAGGCTCCGGACACGCAGGCTCAGCGGCCACGGCTCACGGGCCTGGCCGCTCCACGGCATGTAGGACCTTCCCGGACCGGGGCACGAACCCGTGTCCCCCGCATCGGCAGGCGGACTCTCAACCACTGCGCCACCAGGGAAGCCCCAAAAGTTGGTTCTTTGAAAAGACTAATATGTTGGAAAATCTCTAGCAAGACTGAATGAAGGATAATGAGGCAAAAAGACACAAATTAACAATATTAATTGTTAATATTATATTAACGTGACACGGCAGATTCTACAGAACAGGGGTTGGCAAACTTCTACTGTAAAGGGCCAGAGGGTCAATCTTTTAGGCTGGGTTCTGTTGAATGTCCTTCGTTTTTGCTTTTTTTCCTTTTACACACCCCTTTAAAAATCTAAACAGCATCCTTAGTTTGTGGGCTGTACCAAAACAGGCCATGGGGCAGATCTGCCCCATGTCACAGCTTGCCACTTTCTTCGATAAACATTAGGAAGATTTTAAGAGGATATAAGTAGTAGACTCACGCCAATAAATCTAAAAATTAGATGAAACCTATAAGCTTGAAGAGAAACACAACTTACCAACACTGACACAAGAAGAAAAAGAAATTTGAACTTGGACCTAATAAAGACATGAATCTAATAAATACCGTCCTGCAAAACACTCCAGGCCTAAGTGGCTTCATCTGGGCATTACTTCAAATATTTAAGGAATGGACTAATGTTATACAAACTCTTCCAGGTCATTTTTAAAAGGGGGGAAGGGTGATAATTCTCGAACCATTTTATGAGGCCAGATAACC